GCACGCCGTACATCGGGAACTCTCCGCGGAGAGGGTCGAATTTACGTCGCTAGAGGGGAGCATACGTATTTGTTTTGGGAAATCCTTTTCATATGCGCTATATAACCCCTATTTGGAGAAAAACTGGAAGATCTCTGGGAAATTTCGGAAAATGTGGTAGGAAGCTGGGGAAAGTAGAAGCTGGCAAGACAGTAGGCAGGACAGGAAAAAAAGAAGGGGTGGTGTTTTTCGAAAGTTTTTTCAGCTTCAGGACGTGCCCTGTGCGGCTGATGGAGCCACTCAAGGCGGAAGTTGATGTTTTTTCCTTCTAGACTATTATATACGCATGACCGATTCTGGAAGAATAGATAAAAGGGATTCGATCATAGATCCAATCCCTGAACCGATAATGTGAAGGCGGCGTCTTTTTCGTCGCTTTCGTCTGCTTCCTTTCTGCACCCTTCAGCATTGTATTAGGTTGGCTAATAAGTAGTGGCCGTTTTTTCAATTGAAAAATTTGTTCGAAAAGTGAAACGTTTTGCAAGCAAGTTATATATCATCTGATAGGAAACTTCTCGTAGTATAAGAATATCAAAAAAGTTTGGTTGAGGATATAGTTTTTGTGAATTTTTTAGTCGTTGAAGTTGGAAGTGAAGTCGGCGAAAATTAGCATCTTCGACAACTGCCTCTATTTAGAAATTTCATGCTAATAGTTGAATTAATTGAATTTGAATTTGATATTCTAATACTACGAGAAGTTTGCTATTAAACGATATTAAGCTTGCTTGCAAAACTTTTCACTTTTGAAACAAATTTTTCAATTGAAAAAAACGGCCATTACTTATTAGCCAGCCCACTAGCAGTTATTAAGCTAATAAGTAATGGCCGTTTTTTTCAATCGAAAAATTTGTTCCAAAAGTAAAACGTTTTGCAAGCAAGCTTAATATCGTTTAATAGCAAACTTCTCGTAGTATTAGAATATCAATTCAAATTCAATTAATTCAACTATTAGCATGAAATTTCAGGTGGAACAGACGTGAGCCTGCCCAATATTGGCAAGGTGAAGGTTGCCAACTTTGAAATTCTTGAAATTAGTTCCAAAGCGTCCTATTGAGATTCCCTTGCTGAGACTTCTACCTCAACCTTTTCCGAATGTATGGAGCAGCTTAAGCGATTTTAGCACTTCGAGTAGACGTAAATAGAGGCAGTTGTCGAAGATGCTAATTTTCGCCGACTTCACTTCCAACTTCAACGACTAAAAAATTCACAAAAACTATATCCTCAACCAAAGCTTTTTTGATATTCTTATACTACGAGAAGTTTCCTATCAGATGATATATAACTTGCTTGCAAAACGTTTCACTTTTCGAACAAATTTTTCAATTGAAAAAAACGGCCATTACTTATTAGCCAACCTAATATTACGGTAGCCAACACCACTGTGAGGAAGCTTTCCAATTCATCTTTAATTCAGAACAATGTGCGCTTTCAGGATGCAGATACTTCTCACGACCTAGTCAGTAGAGCTAAAGGGGTTACTTCCTGGTTGGACAGGATATCTAGGAGCTCGTAAAGTTTGGATTGGCACAAAGGAGCAATCTGAGCCTCGCATAATCCATCCTCAACTACGGACGTAAAAGTTTTGGATCGATAGCATCGTTGAAGCGTTTTTATCCCCACTAACAAGAAAGTTTTGAACTAAACTTGGCACCCAAAAACATTCCCCACCTAAAATAGAAAGAACTTTGAATCTAACCTTTCTAAATATAAGTTTTCAATCTCTACTCATTGCATTCGACGGTCCATCTGAGAAGAATGTCATAGGTCATGGCACTTCTTTAACGCCCAACGAGGTTGTTAGTTGGAGCTTTCTTTTGGTGGCCACACAGTCGACCTTCGACTTTTGTCCCCCCAAAAATTGGTGAAGCGGTGAAAGTACCTCATGCCGAGTTCCTCATGACGTTTCAGCCTCTGACGTCGTAATTATGGATAAAGGGAAAGCTGCCAGGGATAAAGTTTGGAAGAAGTATATCAACCATTTCGAGGCCTTCAGATGCCCGAATTGTTAGCTGTAAGCTCATTTCAGAACTTTTTCTATCGGAGTTATGCAGCTGCCGAGTAGTCAGCGCTTGACTCGATCGTGACCTTCGCTGTCTGAACATTAAGGCTCAAATGGATGTAGTAAGGCGAACATAGAGCTGCCAGGCAAAGCTTGTCACGAATCCCTGACAATGGGAGGTGGTATTGACTGTATACCAAACAGGGCACCTTCAACATTGGAGATCCGTTGCGAGCGGTCATGGGAGGGAAGAGGATCCTATTCTCCTCAGAAAAAATGTTTTCGGTTGTTGACTTTTCTCCGTTTCCCTCTTTTAGAGCGCTCTGTACCCCACACCCATTCGGTAGCTTTCTGGAGGGAAGTTTAAGTGATTGTTGAAACAAAGGATTGAAAAAGCAAGGAAGTGGTCAGGAAAATGGTAGGCAGGGTGGGGAAAGGGAGGGAGGGGGGTCACGTTTCGCAAAATCTTTCCCCAACGACAGGAAATGCCCTGATACCGTATGAATGAGCAGACTGGTAACTCGGAGACGTGATCATAGTCTCATTGCTGCCAGGAGCGATTTCCTATTTCTCTCACTAAGTTCATTGAGGTTCCCTATTTCGACAGAGTCCCTTTCGTAATAACTCTGTCCGAGTGGGGAACCTCAATGATTACTAGAGCAATAATGTCCGCGGGCCTTAGGATTCCGAGCCGCTGGTGACTTCCGCTTGAGGCTTGACCGGAAACTCCGCCACATCACAGTCTACTTCACAAATTAAAGGCCGAAGTCACTTCAGTTCAGGCCCATAGCCATGAAGGAAAGACAAAGAGCTCAACGGCTAATCCGCGCTGTTTAAAAATAAAAAATGACTAGGCTGAAAAATTCTGTTACTTTCGAAGCTCAAAGTGCCTGAAGTGATTTTTGCAAGCTGTGAGGGTCATCAACAACTATAAAATCTCAGCGAATGTAAATTTCGCTGGAAAAACGGTCGAAAGAAACAATTTCGATCGATGTTGTTGCTGGCTTAACCTTCAGTATGAAAATCTGTTGAAGCTGCTCTTGTTCTTAGGTCAAAAAGACCAAGGATTCTTGAGTTCAATTTCCCGAAGTTCAAGGAAAGGCAGACCATTTCCCCAGTCGTCACAAACTTCAAGTCATGGAAAGTTCCACCCCTTACGTTCTTTCCTCCAAAAACGTTCGTGTTAGTACACTTAACTCGATCGCTCAAAACAGTACCCGTGTGTCATTAATAATGGACCATATGCAAAGACCCCCGTGAAGCTTCCCGGCACCAAATGGACTCCATACCTTCCATTCTGAGACATTCCTGCGTATGGGCGGGAGGTGGCTTAGGATGCAAAGTGACTCCGCCGGTTATGTCTTGAGGGAAGAATAAGGAACTGCTCCTTTTCAAATCAAGCAAACCCTCAATTCCGCCGAGAAAGATCGATTGGTACCAATTTTCGCAGGGAGGAAGAAGTAATGATTTTCATTTGGCCCTTTCGTCCTCGTGCAGGAAAACTCTCATACAAATTGCCACTAGGACTCTGAACTGAATGCGAGTAGAAAAAGTGGTGATTCAATAAGAAAGTAGTCAGTGCTTGGAGCTTCATCTTTTTTATTCTGCGCTAACGAAGGCAGATCCGGACAGGAATATTGAATTAGAGAGAACTGGGTTCTTACACGCATTCGCAACAGGGCATATCATCGCGCTGTGCAAAATTTTCGCAACACGACTTCCTCAGATTACCGAGCGGGGACGGGTGAGTACGTCCCTCATATTCTCCCGCTTCAGAATACCCGTCAGAAGAATTTTACCTTACCAGCGAGTGAAACGTGAAAAATCGACAATCATTAACAGTTGGAAGAAATGTTGTAAAATTCACGCAAATGGGACCCACCCCTCCCCCCCCCTGCAAGCGACTGATTAATGCTTGCTGTTGCTCAACGGTGACTCGCATATATACTCCAGTTCGCTGCGGATGAAGGGGCGTGTCAGGCAGTATGGTGTGCCATGACGCCTATCCCGTTCTCTGCCAGTTGTTGAAGCGGGTATGGGACAACAACTGATAGAAAACGAGTTATACGAACGATTTCATACAGCCTTGGCACTTGCTCGCTTCAGTAACTGGCACCGCGCCAAACCCGTCTGCATCGAACTAGCGACTTATTGACTGCTAGCTTTCACGCCACCCACGCGCACCCTCCACGCTGACTTCGCAGAAAACCAGTAACGATCTGTTTTCGATACACTCCTACCCTTGTGACGGTTCTCATTCACAAAAAATACCAGCTACCGTAGTGCTGTTCTAGCGTGAACGTGTCGTTTGGAAAAACCGAATGAATCCACTCATGCATGGGACTCAGTGGGGGAGCGGTGCTTCCTCTTCCGCTCGAACTGCTCTAATAACAAGCTGCAAAATTGGACGAACCTCTAGCAACGACGAGGAAAAGTCCGAAAAGTTCAATCGGCGGCAAAGTCCGGTTATCGTGCAAGTCGACCAATTCCATATGTATCTTCAACGATTCCACTGGTCCTGTAGTGAAAGAACTGAGTAAAAACTTGTGTACCCTTTCCGCTTGAATTACCTTGTTTAGTTGTGGTGTATGACGAATTGTGTTGGTTCAACTTCAACGTTCTCGATTCTGTCCACATTTGCTCCGGTTGGAGGTGCAGCATAGGTCGAACGTCGGGTTTTATTGATGGCATTCCGACCTCTAATGTCCGTGGAATTGTCGGAGCTCCCAATAAGGGGCAAGGCAACTTCTTCAACATCAGGGAAAGAGGAATTTGTGAGAAACTCTTCGAACTCTTCGGAAGACACGTTCTCCTTGGCTGACGTAATACACATAAAAATAAGCAATAATAGAGCAGAAGCAGCTAATTTTAATATGTCAGACGGCTGGCAGAGCATGACAATGCGCTCTACACATAGCACAATCAATTGCTACTGCTACGTGCTTTCGGAAGTAAGCAATTTTTGGCAGTATGTAGGGAGAGAGAACGGGAGAGGGTTAGAGGTGGAGCTGAGATTGTTACCTCTGTTTCGAATGGGGCAGTCACAATCGTCTATCAAAACGTCAACACATTTCAGTGTGGTTCATGGACATATCAAAGCGATGTGGTAAACTTCCTGGTCGACAAAGACGAGATCGACCTCGGTGACTTCTACGACAATCAGGTACGGGAGTATTAAAACTAAGCTGTGCACTCACCTCTGAGGGCGGTGTTTGCCATGTGCAAGGCGAATGGGTCCACAAGCTGAGGTAGCGTGCTACTGTTCCCGGTACAAATTGCGCAGGATTGGAGCAAGAGGGTTGTGGCGTCCGGATGCCGTCTCCATTCTCCCCACGCGTCATTCAACGTGCAGCAATTGCGTCGATACGAAGGTTTCGCACCGAATCACGTACGTAACAATAAGTGATAGAGGACAACCAGAAGTAATAGCCAGGCACATAGCTGGCCGGGCAACGCGAGCAGAGTATTTAGGCCGCGTATCATTACTTGCCGCAGCCGCCCACCAGACGTTCGAGCGTCCGACATTCCAGAAATTAGGAAAGTTATATGGCATATTCGACCGCGAGTCTGTCAGCGTCCGCCAGCGCCCACCAGCGACTGCCAGCGAGGGCCAGGGAAGTATAAGTATCGTTCTAGCCTGAGCTAGCGTGTACCAGCGTCCAACCACCGCCTTCACCAACGACGGGAGTTAGAGTGTACGGGGAAAGTAATTGAGGGGTATAGAACAGCTGGATTCGGCGTGATGAGAATTGCGCCGTGATGCATGCACAACTGCCTAAAGCAGTGAATTATGCAATTCAATGATGATGTAGTGTGGTTGTACGCGTGGTTGTAGAAGCGCAATTTCACAACGCCTAGTACAGCTGTTTGCTACCGTCCTACTTCCCCATACTCTCCACTGCCGGTCGCTAGTGAACGCTGGTGGACGCTGGTACGCGCCTTGGTTAGACGCGACATGACGCTATTTCGAAGCATACCTATACTTTCCTCAGCGACCGCACGGCTGGCAGACGCTGGTGGCACGCCGGCAGCGCTTGCACACACCTTCATATCGCTATTCGATGATATATATAACTTTCTTAGTCGCTCACGCTGCCGGGCGCTCAGATCGTTAGGCTGGTGGACGCTGCCACAAGGCATGTATGCAGCCCTAGACGGCATTCGGGTACCGCCTACCTTTCCAGCCCGGCTTCCTCGTGCCTTTGATCGTAGAAGCATGGTACGCTAAGGCAGCCGCCTTTTCAAAAGTCATTGGCCAGAGATTACGATCCGAAGGTGAGGGTGCAGTTCATCTTTAACTGATCCAGAACTTGTAACTAGAGCCGAACTTCCAGGAGTGGTTGCTGATGGACGCGCGACTACGCAATGGTACCACTCGAATGCAGGAGAACTCCAACGAGAGCGTAGCTATGGTATCAATGAGACTGAGTCTCAAAACGCAGAAGCTTCTACTATGTTTTCAATTTGGTCTTTCCCACTACATTGGTGAGTTATAGTTGGTAACGTCGCAGTCTGACGGGGCGATGTCAGAGGAGGCGGTATGAGCCCGCCTCCAGCTGACTTGCTCAACCAATAGTGATGCGATTTAAGAGGAAAACAACCAGTGTCTGAAACGCCGGCTGGGTGCGGCCTCAACCCCATCCCCTCCGGGATTGCCCCCGACTGATTGCGGCGGTATCAAACTTTTTTTTTAATAACGATCTGACAAAGCTTTTCGTGTTTTAGCACTTTGTGTTGTAGGTTTCACTGGTAGCCGTCATTGGATTCCATGCTCCCATCAATGCAACGGGGAGGCGAGAAAGCAAATTCAGGCTAGGTTAGATCCGACAGAACTCCCTAGCTGAAATCATAATCAAAATAAGGTTTGCTATATTTCAGGAATAATGACACTGCTGTCAATGTCCGTTATGTTGCTGATGTTGGTGGGCGAAATGAAGTTTGCTATGGAAAGCGTGCCGGGTCAGCGAGGGTCATTCAGCGATGTGCCATTACTTGGTATGATATTTTCCATTCCTAAAAAGACTGCTAGGATAAAGAGTGTGGTCGTGTGCAGTGTCCACAATATTAGCACTACTTTTGACCAAAGCAAATAAACAACCAAATAAAGCAGTCAATACTTAGGTAAAAACCTCCTAGTCCGTATTGATGAAAGCTCGGTACTGGTATGTTATTGAGGGAATTTATATAGAAAAGTTTGGACAGTCTAGACAAAATACTCGGAATTGTTCCGCCTCTCTGAAGAAAGAATCTGAGTATCCTCTACTTGGCCCTTGGATCCGGGGAGAGGAGCACTGCGTGTTTTCCTTGAATTTCACTCAGCTCATAGAAGCATGCAGACTACGCAGCACAAGTACCGTTAGGTTGAGTTGAGCGCCTCTCCGCTTGATTGTTTTGACTAAGCTTTTTGAATTTGACATTAGCTTTACATATCCCGGTCCCATTTTCAACCAAAGCCATAGATCAATTTAATGAGAGGGCGATAACGCTGGAAATGGGCTGCACCTTTTCATCAACTTGTATACCATTCATAAAGATAGTCCCAATTTGCTGTGCGACGCATTTACTTTCCATTGAAAAATTAAAGTCCCCATTGAACTCTCACTTGCGAATTGCCCAGCATGTCTGAAAAGTTGCGTGACTGTTGCAGGATTAGAAATGATTCTCGCCTTGGTCAGCCTATGTACAAGTCACTGTTCTTATCCTGCCAGACAGGTCTGGTGAGAAACTAAAGTCCCGGCAAGGTAGAAGACTTGATTGGGCTGAGGAAGAGCCGAATCGGAATTTCACTCGCGAACCGCGATGGAAATCTCTGAGATCGGGTAGGCGTGGTTGCGTACTTGATTTTAAAATGGCCGGCCCAGGTTTTTCGTGAGAGACTGTCATTTTGGAGCAGTCGTAATCATGTCTACATCTGACACAGAACAAGATAGCAGTTGTTACCAACTGAAGTATCCCACGAGAAGCCCGTCCTAAGCCATGCTCAAAAGCCACGCCTACTCCGTCTCAGGGATAAGGAGTATAAGTGTGCCGCTTGTCCAGTGCACAACCTCCACCTCATTCGTCGTCAAGAAGCGTGTGGTGGAACCAACAAAAGGGTTTCAGCTGCACTTTTTCAATGCTCTAGCATTCACCGATCTGCGACAGTACCATCTTTCCAAGATTAATACCGCCCAGCGTTTTATACTGCATTCCTTCATGGCAAAAAAGACATTTAGCTCATTTAGCGCGTCCCACAACTTGTTTGAAATTGGGTAAATGGACCCTCTGATCACCTACGTCGGCTAGTGGCCTGATGCATGCATTTTGGGAACCATCGAACTGAAGAGCAAGGGATCCAGGAGCTCTCGATCTGAATTGTGAGCCATGGCATTGCTCAGTCAGATAGATGATTTCCTCCGTGGAATGAAAATCACACAGCTGCAGCGGGCTGACGCAGCTACTGGGCGTTGTTTGTCGTCGGTGATGACCCATGACTCCACCATTACACGACGGGGAGCAGTGCCGAGGAGCTGGCTCCTTCTTACTCCGAATCTCCCACGCACCTTCTCACCCTTACCCTTGATAGCGCGCTCCATGTGCGGACTGCTCCCTAGTGTGGTTCACGTTTTTCCATTTCTCGACACAACGGTAAAAGTCTTATGACTGCCGAGGGCTGTCCTTCTCTATCGCAGTCGGAAAGTTTTACCTATGGATGTTACAACAGCTGTGACAGCATCTTATAACAGTCATCGTTCTCGTCTAATAGGTCTAACGACTATTTCTCATACTTTTACTTAGTGAATTACTTTGCAGGAATATACTACATGAGCTTGATCTTCATCATTAGCATAGCCAACATGCACATCGAGTATTTTCGTTCATTTGGAAAAGTATGCGCTCCGAAATCCAACTTGGCAGGTGGGTTGCGTATTTGTCTCAGTTCGAGTTTACCTGAACCTTGGGTCTTGCCTTCGAATGCCCTTTGACTTCTTGCAAGATCTGTTTCGTTGAAGTTTTGATCGAAGTGAATTCCCTTTTCTTGCCTTAGTTTCCATGGGAAGAACGGTGAGCGCAGTGACCCACATCACAGCGGTTTCTTTCCCGAATGATTTCATAGGTCGCACCTCCAGTGAGATTCGCTCTGCGTAAACCACCTCGACGCTCTTCTCAGAACCCTAACTTAGCATCGCTTCAGGCAGGATAAGTATCTTTAGGTGAAACCAGGTCCGTGGTCTTACTTGCTGGCGGAGGGAGGGCTCATATTTAGCCCTCGAATAATTTTTGGTTCCACCTTTTTAACGCGCTTTATATGTTCCTAATTCGCGGAATAGCAAAAGTGCTATTCCTTCAGTGTTAGAGACAATCTGCACAATGGTATATTGTGGATAGTGACGCTAAATTACAAACCTATAGTCGCTAAATAGCTATCCAAGGGAAAAAAGCGAATAAGAAAATCGTGGAGAACACCAAGTAGAAGCCCGGTAGCTTTTCCAGACGAGTTTTCCGTGCCTGCTCGTTTTGTGCCAGCAAAGCCATGGTCCTGCCATCTCTAGCTCAGTAATCGTCCCTCCGCGTCATCGAATACTAGTGTCGT